GAGGAAGGACGTCGGGCGGCGGGGGCTTCTGGGGCTCCGGCCTGGGGGTCGGGCGCACGCGGGGCCCCGAGAAGGCCGGCAGACTCGCCAGGCCGCCCGAAGACCTCGGGGCCAGACCCCGGCTCTGTCGACGGCCCCTCTCATGCGCCAAAGCTGGGGCTGGGTGAGGGCGCAGCGGGGTGGCTGGGGACCTCCCTTCTCCGTCCTGAGGGGCACAGAGATGGGGAACACACAGGCTGCTGTCGGCATGGTGTCTCGGGTCTAGCAGCGGAGGCGAGGCCGACTTGGATCCTGCAAACCTAAGCGCTTTGTGGGTCTCTGCCGGTGTGTAATGGGTGTTTCCCAAGCAACGGTGCCCTAGGTTGGGGTCAACTGGGGTGTTCTGGGATGGGATTCTGTGCAGAGGGAACAGGACCCTGAGATCAGGGACCAGGTGGGTGAGGGTGGGGGGAAGGGTATCAAGCAAGCCCTAGGACAGGAGGGAAGTGACAGGAGCCGGGAGGACCACGGAGCTGGCCAGCTCGGGGTCTGGGGGAAAAGGGGGCGACTTCCAGCTGATGGAAACGATTTTGGTAGCAGGAATGGTTCCACAATTGGAAACGTTTGCCAAAATTCACCAAAAAGGATGTGTTTCACTATATGCAGATTGTACTGCAACAAAAAATCCCTCCTAAGTACCCAAGAGGCAGGCAGGGCTAGATGCTAAGTGGTCCCACAGGCTTGTGATCTTGACCCACTCCTGGGGTTACTGAGGAAAACCGACCCAAAGTCATCTGTAGGGGCTCCTTTACAGCCTGTGCCCTCGGGGGGCACGGCTACCAGGCATGAGGATGCAACGCGCTGCAGCAGGCACTGCCAGGCACCCCTTGCCCCCATCTCCAGGCCGGTCATCCTTGCCACAAGCCTCCCGAACACCAGCCCAAGCTGAATCCGCTGAAAAGATCGGCCATGACTTTGAACCTGGTGCAGGGAAGGCCTTGAGAGGGAAGGTCGGCTGGTGACGCTTGACACTAACAGCCTGGACCTGAGTCGGCCTGCCATTCTGAGACAGGAGCCCTTCTAGCTGTTTCCGAGGCCTGCTGACTTAGGGAGGCGAGCCAGTGAGGCAGAGGCAGGACAGAAACGGCCTCCCAGGGACTCCCATTAGGACAAACGGCACTCCTGGGTCTCCCCTGCCCAGTCCCAACAAGCAACCACGGCCCAGGCCTCAGCAAGGCCACGATCACACTAGCAGCAGAGGGCTTAAAACCACTTCCATGTCTGGGTCGCGTGCAGCAGCTCACGCTGCTAATCCTAGCACTTTGGGAGGCAAAGGCCAGGACTGCCTGAGCCCAGGGGTTCAAAACCAGACTGGGCAACATGAGACTTTGTCTACACAATAAATCAAAGGGTTAGCTGGGTGCCTGTGGCTCCAGCTCCTCGGAAGGCTGAGGTGGAAGGATCGCCTGCGCCCGGCAGGTCGAGGATGTGGGGGCCATTAGCCTGTCACTGCACTCCAGCCTGGGCAACAAAGTGAGACTCTGACTCAAAAAAACCACACACACGTCTATGCCCCTAACCCACACAATTGTAATCTCTGGGGTCACCCTGGCACCAAACGGTCTAAAACGACCCCAAACGAAGCCGAGAAGCACTGCATGAAAGGACGCCTTCTCTCCGCAAGGCCAGACAAATCCCTACGGGGCTCGTCTCCTAGGAGCCGTGACAAGCCTCCGGAGGATGTGCTGGAAACAAAGAAGGCCCGAGTGGTCAGCTCTCTCTCCCAGGGAATCTTAAATGTTTAAACGCGGGCACACTGGGCTGTGTCAGCCATCACTGGGCGCCCCTGTGGACATGCCCTCTTCTGGAGGAAACAAAACCCACACCTTGCAATTTTCGATTCAAAAACTTCACACCCTCAACATTCCTGCAAGTGGTCCAAGTTGTTTACCGCTTGTGATTAACACACCCAGCACAACACCAAGCCCACTGCGCAGCACACTTCAAAGACGACGGAGCGCTCCAAGACACTCGGACGGACGGCGACACGAGCCAGCCACCCATTCCGAGGCCTGAGCGGTAGCATGGCGCCACCGCGTGGTCTGTTCTGACACGACGCCACAGCCCCCAACCTCACTGGGACTTGCCGTTACTGTCAGGAGTGGTCTGCTCTTTCTTAACCCTTATGTGAGCCAACGAAAAAGGGAGCCGAAGGGCAATTCTGCATCTGAGGACACACGGCAGAGGTGAAGCCCCCTCTCAAAATCATGCCAGTAACCAAGGGGCAGAACCAGCATGGGAGTCAGGCCCGGCTGGCCCTGGCTACACCCACGCCGGGCCCTAAGAGCGGCCACCACCACCATTTCCCACCTGCCTATAAATCCCACCTCCAGCCCCTGCCTGTTTCCATGACGGCTCCCCTCCATCTGCTTATTTTCAAGCGCAGGCTAAAAGAGGGTTTACCTGCCAAGGAAATCATGGTCAAGATCAGGGACGCAGAGGGAGCAGCCGGCCCCATGCCCCGTTCCCACCGTAAGTCACTGCTCGGCGTATTTCCCTTTCATTCCCCAAAGACAAAGGACACCTTAAAATTTAAAAAATTTTAATACAGTTCAAATCAGCGTGTCGCTTCATTTCAGCTCCTTCACTGCCAGACCTAGAGAGAAAGAGATGCACGAGTGAGTCACCCAGAAGGTAACATTTTGCGTCGCCGCTGTTCGTTTTGACTTTGTACTAAAGATGGCTCACGAGGCTCAGAAAAACACCAGAGAGATTCTGGCTAAAATACGAAGTTAGTGCTTGGTACAAACATCCCCTCAGACGTGGCCTACTACCCTCAATCAGTCCCCCCGCCTGTAACAACGGGGTTATCAGTACCAAGCACCTGCCTTAACCCTTGTGAGGGTTAAGAGAGTGGTAACTTTCCTCTGGCCAGGAAAACCATTTCTGGGACTGGCTACAACCCGAGCATCCCAACTATTCCCTGCCCACCAACAGCAAGAGCAGACACTCAGACAAACCACAGGATGCGCTTTCCCCGGTCTGGGCACGAACGGAAACAAGACGACAATGCATCCACCTTCCCCATTTCTGGCCGCCAGTCTCCGCACCCTTCTTCCCCAAGGACCCCAGGCTCACGCACCAGGGGGCAGGGACTGCTTCAGTTTCTCAGCCTTCTCCTTATCGGTGATGACCAAGGTATACAGGTACCTGCTGCAACGAACTTTAAACTTCACATTATCCTTGTTTTTCTTGATCTTGACGGCTACAGAAAAGACCAGAATCAGTAATTAGGCTGTACCGCAGAAAACAGGTTACTCAGTTCATGGCTTTAAGTGACTGGGACCGGCCAGTCAGCAACACCTCCCTTGCTGTCCCTGGGCTGAAACAGAAAACAAGACTACCCACTCCCCCATGACTCCCAAACTCAAACATTTACATTTTCCTTCTATTAGTACTCAAGAGCCTGGAACTTACTTAATTCTAACTGGTTTTGAAATACTTAAAGCACACGTACTTGGCACACTGAACACACTCTCACAGAACATTCCACAAACCTTACTGTACTTTTTAAGCGACGGAAGCAGTCTGTAGACAGGACACAGGCTATCTGCCGGGCTGAGGAACCTCCCAGTGCCCCGCTCTAGACGTCAAGTCCCTGCACATGGGAGGACCCTCTGGGCCAACAGTGGCGCTCCTCCTTCAGAGCTCCCCTGCCCTACTAGAGGGACACGGTGTGCACCAAAGCTTTTCCTCAAGCTTACGTGGAACTCATTTTCTGGGTTCTTTCCTGCTGCCAAATTCTGTCTCAGGATCACAGCTCAGACGAGCACTCAGTGGACCTCAAGTTCAACTGTGCAGGGTTTGAAATCTGCAAGGAGTCTGGTTATTTAATACAAATGTCACCGCATTTCCATTTGGGAGCAGGTCAGTGTATCATGTCTTGCCAACACCCTGTTCCAATGTCTTTAAAAGCTGTTCAGATTCGCTCAAGAACTCACAGGCATAAAAGAAATGAAGTGCCCCTCACACAGCTTGCTGAGGACTGAACATGGGCTCTGGTGCTTCAATGCAAGGACCTAACCAGACACATAAGCAAAGCACACAACACTGCAAACAGCACAAGACGAACTTGTGCCCACAATCCACAACCCCATTTCAGCAGTAGAGTTTACTCAGCACACATCACAGGAAGCAGCTCTGCGGCTTGGACCTGCCCATGGCACTGGCTGCCTGGGCTCATGCTCTTAGGAAACCCAGACACCTGCATATTCATCTAGACCAACCCACCTCGGCACCCGAGCACTGCCCTAGCAGCTCCTGAAAACTAAGCTGAACATCACTTGCACTGACACGAGACTCTCCCAAGTGTTTATTCAATATTAGCATGTGTGCTGCAATTCCCTTTCTAGCGATGCACCCAAGAGCAGAAAGCAACCACAGAAGGAATGCTCACACATCCGTGCTTTCAGCAGCACTACTCACAACAGCTAGTATGTGGAAGCAATCCAACGCCCATAGAGAATGGATTAACAAGAAGTGGCCAATAATCGTCCTTAAGAAGGACATCCCAGCCGGGCTCGGTGGCTCAGCCTGTAATTCTGCACCTTTGGGAGGCTGAGGTGAGTGGATTGCCTGAGCCCATGGGTTCGAGACCCGCCTGGGCAGGTGAGACCTCATCTCTACAATAAATAAAAAAATTAGCCGGGCGTGGTAGGGTGCGCCTGTAATTCCGGTTACTCGGAAAGTGGAGGCAGAAGGATCGCCGGAGCCCAGCAAGTCGAGGCTGCGGTGGCAGGGAGCGGCCACTGCACTCCAGTCTGGGTGACAGAGTGAGGCTCCAACTCAAAAAAAAAAGAAGAAGGAGGACATCCCGACATATGCTACATGGGTGAACCTCGAGGACATTCCGTGACGCGAAAGCCGCCGCCTACAAAAGGTCGAATACCACATATTCCACATATACAGTGTGAATAAAGTGTACACTTAAAATGGTTAAGGTAGTGAAAATTAAAAAGAACAGTTTTAGAGTTTATTCAGCACCCACTGAGCTGCGACCCCAATCTCATAAAACCCCTCACCTAAAACCAGGTCTCCAAACAATTAGAATACAAACCAATCAAGGACCTGGTTATCACTTCAACATGTAAGCGCTCTAGCGGACCTACTGATTTGATCCTTGCACCGGTCCTGGGAGACAGCCATCGCCGCTCCTCTCAACACAAGGAAAGGGTGGCGTCACGTCTAACTTGCTGAGAACAGTTCCTTCCGGTGGAGCTGGGATCTGAGCCAGGCAGTGGCCCAACTGTATGGTCTGAACTTAACTGATTGCCTTGTTAGTGTGATGTAAGCAACACTCGATAGAGGCTGTATGTCCCCACAGGTGGTCTCGTCACCAGTCCATACGCTGCCAGAGAATCAAAGAACAGCCTATTCTGGGTAACAGGGCTCCAAACACGCCTGTCTCCGCCTCCTTCCAACCCATTAAAGGACCCTCCCCACGAATTAGAGGTTGTGCTGGCGTCGTGACCCACCAACATGCCTGCCCGGCACTGGGCCACTTGCAGAGATGACCCAGCTCTCAGAACCTGGCCCATCAAAAACTCGCGTTTTTATGTTTCTGACTCCTCACCCCCCCCCTTCACTTACT